CGTGTCGCTCTCTCCGAACTCGCCTGGGCGCCGGAAAATCGACAAACAAACATGGCTGTGGACGGATACTGTCAAGGAAAAACTGCGAGAGAAGAAAAGATCCTATCATACGTTCCTCAACGACAAAACAGCCGAGAACTGGGAGAACTACCAGAAGGCGAAGAAGGCTGCAAAGAAAGCCGTGGCTATCGTCAAAGCTGCTCACTTCGCCAGCGTTAGCGAGAAACTCGAGACGCGCGATGGCGAACGATATGTCTACAGACTAGCCAAAGCTCGCCATCGCCAAACCGAGGATGTCGAGAAGTTTTTCGGCATTAATGACGAGAACGGGCGGCTCCTAATGGACCGCAAGAAGGCAGTAAAGCGATGGCACGACTACTTCGAGAGAATCTCGACAGTAGAATTCTCACATCCGCCAATCCCTTCTGCCCCTCCCGTCTACGGTCCCGTCTCGAAGATAACTGTGGAAGAAACTGAAGCGGCGCTGAAGAAGATGAAGACAGGTAAAGCAACGGGTCCCGACGACTTGGCAGCCGATCTGTGGAAGTCACAGTGCTGGCATCCTGCGGAGTGGTTGACGAAGTTCTTCAACCAAGTTGTTGCAGAAAAGAAAGTGCCTGCGAGTTGGTGCCAGAGCACGACGATTCCCATCTGGAAAAAGAAGGGCAGCCCCGCAGACTGCACGAGCTACCGTCCAATTCGTCTACTTTCCCACGCCATGAAGATATTTGAGCGAATTATAGATCGTCGTATTCGCGACATAGTGCAGCTCGCCACGAACCAGTGTGGATTTGTAAGCGGCGTTAGTACCATCGATGCACTACATGCCGCTCGTCTACTGTTAGAAAAACACCGCGAGAAACGGAAGCCTCTGCATTTTGCCTTCCTAGACTTAGAAAAGGCTTTCGATCGCGTTCCGCGTGATGTAATATGGTACGCTCTGAGACAACGTGGCGTCCCCGAAGAACTTATTGAGTGGGTTCGCATGCTATACTCGAGCTCAAAGAGCCGAGTGCAAACGTCAGCAGGAACCTCAATGGAATTCCCCATCTCTGTTGGGGTGCACCAAGGCTCTGCACTATCCCCACTCCTTTTCGTTGTCGTCATGGATGCCATATCACGAGACCTCCAGAAACCGGCTCCATGGACGCTCCTCTATGCCGATGACGTGATGCTCGCCTGCGAAGACAAAAACTCACTCGAGCAGCAAGTGCAAGCTTGGGCCGATCGCCTAGCGATGTTCGGACTCAGGTTGAATGTCAAAAAGACCGAGTACTTGACAACCGACTTGAGCGAACACAGTTCGGTAAGAATTAACGGCACAGAGCTATCACGCACGACCACGTTCAAGTATCTTGGATCGGTAATAGCGTCAGATGGTAGTATGGGTACTGAAGTGAGTTCACGCGTGAGTGCTGCATGGTCCAAGTGGCGTTCTATGACGGGTGTTCTCTGCGACAAAAAGATTCCAGAACGCCTGAAATCGAAGATCTATAGAACCGTCATAAGACCGGTGGCAATGTACGGCGCTGAGTGCTGGCCCACGACTAAGGAAATGGAAGCCCGCCTCGGTGTAATGGAGACGAAAATGCTGCGCTGGACGGCTGGTGTCACGCGTTTAGATCGTATTTGTAATGATACCATACGCGATCGCTTTGGTGTAGCTCCTATTGCTGATAAGATGCGGGAAGCTCGACTTCGATGGTATGGTCATGTGCTTCGTGGAAACGATGACACTGTGCGTAAGATGAGCCTCAACATCGATGTGCCCGGCAAACGGCCTAAGGGACGTCCAAAGCAGCGCTGGCTTGATACATTGCATATGGACTTAAAGTTAGCTGGTATCCATCCCGATCAGGCATTCAATAGGGAAAAGTGGCGTCAACACATCAGAAAAGCGGACCCTGCCACCAGGCGGGACAAACGCTAAAGAAAAAGAAGAAGAAGAAGCGTATGACGATAAAACAATGTTTAGTGGGTCGGGTGCGATGGATGGCGGCACTGTCGTGAATAAAGACGTAATTTCACAGGCGATCTCTCTTAAGAACGACAGTAAATGATCAGCGACAACAGCCTCGTAGTCACTGTAGACCATTCCACACTATTGAGCCAGAAACGGCACAGGATGCACAATACCGCCCAGATCATGTAGCATTCGCAATCGAGGTTCTCTTGGTTGAATACCAGTGGATCATTCTTGAGATCCCTCCATCACCTGTGATAACCATCCAACTTGGCGTATCAAACTAACACTATTCCTATCTAGAACAACCAATCCAAACTCTAAGGCCCTCTATAGTTACTATGACATGAAAGCTGCTCTTCATACCCAGAGAGGAACCTGAACCCAGTTCCATTACCATCTTCCTTGACTAATTCAGGGCGAGCAGTTTCGTGACGCTTACCCAGTTGAAGGGCCTCCATCTTTCACTCTCGCACAATAGAGTTTGAAAGCCGGCAGTTCTACAGATATTAAGTTTTAAAGCGGAAGCGAAAGTTCACGATTGGATCTGGTTGGCTGGCTGGGTCGAACTGTGAATGTATTGCTGATATGAAGCACTCGTATGCCGAAAATGGACACTGCTGGCCATTCCAATGATTTGCCACTTTGATCTTAATTTTCCATAAAAATGAAAATACAGCCGGAGATGGATCGCGTGTCATAGAAATGAAGTATTGACCTCTGCTTGGACTTGTTCGTTGGTACACAAGCTTAAATAGTCCATATCTATAAGATCGGCGATGTGCCTTTCACGAGCATCCCCAAGGAATCTCAAATGAATTGATAGGAAGAAATTTTATTTTCAAATCCTTTTGCCCCTATAAGGCACTTTCGTTAATGTAACTACTGAAGGCGCCTTAGAGTTTGGGTTGGTTTTCTAGATAAGAATAGGTCTAATTGATAAGAGCTGGATGGTTACCACAGTTCGCTGGCGAATCCTACATGATCTGGGCGGTATTGTGCACCACTGCTGTGCCGTCTTTGGCTCAAGTAGTGTGGAATGGTCTTCAGTGACTACGAGGATGTTGTCGCTGATCATTTACTGTCGTTCCTAAGTAAGATCGCCTGTGAAATTAGTCTTTATTCACGACAATGCCGCCATCCATCGCAGCCGATCCACTAAACAGTGTTTATCGTCAACGGAATCAATGTTATGGTTGTCCGGTGCGGTTCGGATCCAGTTCCTTCAATAAATATCTGAATAGTCGTCGCGAGACAGATCTTCTTTGCTGGCAAGGAGCAAAATGCTGTGGAAGACTCCAGTGCGCTATCGAAACGTCGCGGTACCATCCGGGTGCAGTAATGTGCTTTCACTAAGCATGCCCACGGAATCTCAAATGCGTTGACAAGAAGAAGAAATTTTTGCATTCAAGTCCTTTTGCCCAGGGTGCTGCTATGCTTGTGAAACAGGGGCATTTTCAAACTTTCTTATAAAACGTTTCTAGGCCATGTCGTTCCCTGAAATGAAGTGGACTGTGGTTTCAGTGCATGCTGAATTTAGTAAACTAGGTAGCAAGCTATGAATCCTTAATCTTAATCCGGAGCACCAGGTTTCATGGATGCATAGATACTTTTGAAACAACTGTAACTTGCTTAACTTAACTATAGCTGATGCGCTCACGTCAACCTGTTGAGCCGGTAGTTCGAAATCGACGCAAGTGAAGCGGGAGAGGTGCGGCTGTGAGTCCCGCGTGGGACGAAAGTTTTGTTGATAACCCAGCAATTTTGTAGTATTGATTAGGAGCATCATCGCTGACCAAGTGACGCACATTGAAATCGTTGTAAGGAGATGAGATTGAGAACAGAGTTAGTTGAGATTATACTCTCCCATTCTCTAGTTCTGCGGTCGTGATCGATGCAATCCAACTCTTCGCGAATTATCCGATCCACATACGGCGCTGAATTCACGCGCTGTCGTTTCGTACTGTAAGTGATACGAGGTCTTGGATTGCCTTCATGACATATTCCATCACTAAAATATATTGGATAAAA